TAACAATTTAACAAAATGTCGTTAAATGTTCCGCAGAAGACTCTTAATAAGACGAGACCCTATTTAAATTAAAAATCGATTATAAATAAATAAAAAATACGACATTGGTAGAACTTGAACCGACATGCACAGTGTTCTGTGCTGTTGCGTTTTTTTCAGTTTATAATCGATTTTTAATTTATAGACTACTTATATAAATAAAAAATCGATTTTGTGCAAAAATATTTAAGTTTTCAAAGACGAGAACCCTGTTGAAGCTAATCGATAAACTTATCTGCGACAGACAGACAGATGCGAACGTGCGATTATGGAACCGAACTAGCATCATGCATGAACAAAAATTAATTATGTAGCCATAACAAAATCGAAACGAGATTACACGGGCGATTACGTAGTCAATATCAGAGCATAGATAAAGTGAAAAAGGCTTAACGAGATCCGTTCCGTGTTCGAGAGGGGCACGTCGCTTACCCGCTGAGAGACAGCGCTCGCGTGCAATGGCCACGCAAAAACTCATTGTGTAAATACGGCTAACGAACAAAAATGTATCAACGCAATAGCCTGTAAGTCTATAATATACTTTGTTGCATACTTTTTAATTGAGAAAATATTCATGCCTAGTATGTTACTCAAACGGTAATAGTGTAATATTAAATTTTTTACAAAAGTAAGAGAAAATAGCACCTACCTTTTCACGTTTTTCTTCTATCAAGATCTACTTATATGTTTTTTGACTTAGACTGCCATTTAGATTCATAAGTAAATAGTCAATAGATATATCTAAGTATTAATTTTACTTTTTAATAGTTTGTAATGGGTGGTTCTAAAAATAAAATAGATAAAAAAGCCGCGCAGTTTAATCTCGTTTCAGTTTTAGTCTGTGGACGCCTGAATATTGAAAGCCAAAATAGGTCGACAACATATTCCTTTCATTAAGTTAAAAAAATTATATTAAGTACATTAATCAGTCCGGGTCCGGTGTTTTTAAACATTAAGTGATGTATATAATTCTCAGTAAACTATAAATAAAAGAATAAATGATTAAATGTTGTTAAACCTAATTGTGAATTGTAAGTCAACTATATAAGATCGCCATTGTCGGTACATCTAGCTGGATGTTGTTGGATTAGACGTCATGAGACGTAGCAGTAACATCACTATGCAGATTGACAATGTCTTCGTAATGAACCCGTGTTTCGTGATTCCTCCTATCGATCGCTACTGACTTTCAAAGCTAGCCGTCACTATATGAGGCCGCTTGAGGCAGAGTAGCCTAACTGCAGTTTTATGACTTGACTTATTTATATTTTCACAGTGCAAAACTGTTAATTTAAAAGACCACAGTGATCGAAAATTTTTAACATAATTTTTACACAAATAATAGTTTAATTCTTTTCCCTAAGTTTAGCATTTATTTTCCTCCTTATTGCAAATCATGGTTTTTGTTATAAGGCAACTCAGTTAGCCTCATATATACATCTGATGTAGTGTGTATGGGACAGACATATGTATGTCTGTTACAATAGATAAATTTTATTTACCTTGATTCAGGGTCTTTAGCACTTTAGTCACATCTATTTAGTAAATGCAAATCTTAAAATGTATGAACTATATAGATGTAAAATTATTTTAATTCTAATTTCCTTATCATAAATGTAACTAATATATTGTATTAACAGTGAAGATAATATTCCTAAAGTTTTCCGTCAGCTTTATATATGAAATTTTTCATATATAAAGCTTTGTATAATATCTAAACAAGACGCTCTGTCTGCCTATTCTAGATACTTGGAGTAGCTTAATGTTGTCTTCATTGACTGATTTTAATATATAATCTAAATAAGGGTTTGATTTACTTAAATCAGACCCCCTACTCACCCAAAACAAGTGGCCTTGCATGTTTCAAATATAGACAACATAAACCATGGTTTAGTTGTTGTAAAATGCTATGTGCAACATTGCATTCATTTGAGAATTCTTGGGGTTTTACTAATTTTATGCAACAGCTATGTTTTAACAAATAAACTAGCGATTATAATAATTTAGTTGCATCAAATGTATTTGTTTCGATTTTATAGGGAAATTGTTCCTTACTTTATAATGTATTAAACATATATAATTATGTAGTGAAACAAGATGTAATGTTAAAACTTACATATACTTAATTAGGTATAAGTATGTATAAATTGTAATTATGATTGATTATAAGACATACTTTATTATTTCATATTATATAGTTTAAACTAAGTTGACTTTAAATACAAGAACTCTTTGAACATAATTAAGAGGTAAAGATGCTGTTATGCAAATTATTTTTGTGTCAGGGGCACAAGTCACAATAAATATTTATTTTTCCTAGAAAACTATTTAGAGTATTAAAAATATTCATATAAATTGCAACCAATTTTCGTTAAAAAAATCGCTTTAAGTCATTAATTGTGGTTAAAAATATTTTTTTTATCTAACCTTTTTTAATATATTTACAATAAAAAATAGAGTCAGATTTTAGTAAGTAATTAAGAGTACATTCATGGCTCTATATCTATACATTTATATTTTTATAAAGAGTCGAAAGAAATATGTAAAAGAAAATGATTAAAAAGTTAATTATTTTCTTAACCCTTAAGCCATTTATTACTCGCTACTATTACTGCCACCTAGTGTCAGAGTAAGGTATTATAATTGACAGCTCTACTGACTTTCAAAGCTAGCGGTCACTATATGAGGCCGCTTGAGGCAGAGTAGCCTAACTGCAGTTTTATGACTTGACTTATTTATATTTTCACAGTGCAAAACTGTTAATTTAAAAGACCACAGTGATCGAAAATTTTTAACATAATTTTTACACAAATAATAGTTAAATTCTTTCAATTTTATTTTCCTCCTTATTGCAAATCATGGTTTTTGTTATAAGGCAACTCAGCCTCTAGCAGCCTCATATATACATCTGATGTAGTGTGTATGGGACAGACATATGTATGTCTGTTACAATAGATAAATTTTATTTACCTTGATTCAGGGTCTTTAGCACTTTAGTCACATCTATTCAGTAAAAGCAAATCTTAAAATGTATGAACTATATAGATGTAAAATTATTTTAATCCTAATTTCCTTATCATAAATGTAACTAATATATCGTATTAACAGTGAAGATAATATTCCTAAAGTTTTCTGTCAGGTTTATATATGAAATTTTTTTCATATATAAAGCTTTGTATAATATCTAAACGAGACGCTCTGTCTGCCTATTCTAAATACTTGGAGTAGCGTAATGTTGTCTTCATTGACTGATTTTAATATATAATCTAAATAAGAGGTCTGATTTACTTAAATCAGACACACTACAAAACAAGTGGCCTTGCATGTTTCAAATATAGACAACATAAACCATGGTTTAGTTGTTGTAAAATGCTATGCGCAACATTGCATTCATTTGAGAATTCTTGGGGTTTTACTAATTTTATGCAACAGCTATGTTTTAACAAATAAACTAGCAATTATAATAATTTAGTTGCATATGTGTTTGTTTCGATTTTATAGGGAAATTGTTCCTTACTTTATAATGTATTAAACATATATAATTATGTAGTGAAACAAAATGTATTGTTAAACTAACATATACTTAATTAGGTATAAGTATGTATAAATTGTAATTATGATTGATTATAAGACATACTTTATTATTTCATATCGTATAGTTTAAACTAAGTTGACTTTAAATAAAAGAACTCTTTGAACATAATTAAGAGGTAAAGACGCTGTTATGCAAATGATTTTTGTGTCAGGGGCACAAGTCACAATAAATATTTATTTTTCCTAGAAAACTATTTAGAGTATTAAAAATATTCATATAAATTGCAACCAATTTTCGTTAAAAAAAATCTCCTTAAGTCATTAATTGTGGTTAAAAATATATTTTTTTTATCTAACCTTTTTTAATATATTTACAATAAAAAATAGAGTCAGATTTTAGTAAGTAATTAAGAGTACATTCATGGCTCTATATATATACATTTATATTTTTATAAAGAGTCGAAAGAAATATGTAAAAGAAAGTGATTAAAAAGTTAATTATTTTCTTAACCCTTAAGCCATTTATTACTCGCTACTATTACTGCCACCTAGTGTCAGAGTAAGGTATTATAATTGACAGCTGTTTCATTACACCCTATTATTTTATTAAAAACTGACTCATTTAAGTAACTAGATGACGTATATTATTAACGAGAAGTTAATTAATTTATAATATAGCTACTCATATGTAATATACTGCGACTTTCACATAATCCACCAAATAACAACACCTGACATCAGCTGTCAAAATGTTTCCCCAAATGTTTACAAATTACACAGTTCAACAAAATGTATAAGAGTTAATATGTAAAAAACAACAAGTAATAGAATTGAGTAATAAAATATACGCTCTGTAAAATTTTCAGCAATATTCCATAATATTTCTTAAGCTTCCACTATACATAATCATAACCTCCAATTATATGTCAAAATGAACTAAATATCTTTTTTTGCTTTGAATATATAGAATGGGGCTGGAAAATTTAAATTATAACCTGTTTATGAATAGATATTTTATACTTTATGACAAAGTTAGTTTATAAAACTGGAATATTTATTGAATTTTTATAATTGTTACTTGGACAGTTTTGCCTCGATGAAACTTATTAAGGTTTTAAGATTAAAAGTATGATTGGACCTTGTCCTCATCCTTTTTTATAATACAGATTCAAAGAATTCTTAATAAAGAATTCAGATTGTGTATTAGAAAATATTTCAAAAGGCAAAAAATAAGAAGAGAAAAACTGTTCGACAACTTTTAGCATCAAAGACTGGGTATTTGTTTCAAAGTTGCTTTATAGCTGATTCACTGTAATTGGTAACTAAAACTAGTATTACACACTTTCACATAACTTTATCAGTGGAGAGCACCCAAGACCTGCATATTACAATATTATGGAATGTTGCCAAAAGCAGAGGCGACCCACCTTCTTCATGATGCCAGTCTTCCGCTTGGAAAAAGTTGTGTACCGCCGTAATTTGTTGTCTATATATTCCATCTTAATTTTGACACGACCCTTGGTCTTCTTTCCATTGGAAGGAGGCGATTTCTTAGGCTGCAGAGAGGCATAACCGTCGTCTGCGATATCTGGCATTCCACTATGCTCGAAATTGAGACTTTGAGAAGGTCTCTCTTCATAACACTGGTCAGATGGTCGTTTTACACCGGATCTTGGGACTGGACAGGGTTGCATGCCAGGCCTAAGACCGCCGAGGGAACTCGGAGGGCGGCCGGCACCGTACATATCGGGCACGTCTCCGAGGATACCCATACCATTACCATAAAGCCCGAAGCGGGGCTCCCGCGCTCCGCCGGGCGCGTCCATAATAACCTCGCAGTACGCCACAGTAACCGGTGCGCGCAAGCGCTATACACACTTCACCGTTCGAACGTCGAACGGAGACTGACCGAAAACGCGAAAGAACCGAGGGCGGGACTGACGACTCGGCCGCTCGGACCGCAACTGACTTCGCGTGGAAACGTTCCGCGCGCCTCAATGGCTATCCATCTCGTTCACTCACTAAATATATACAAGCCTCACGATAAAGATAGAAAACATCTTACACACCCGTAATCTGACACATCCGTAGGAAACCGGGAACCCGCGAACGTTTCAGTACCGAAAATATGAAAATAGAGCTTTTATTCTGAGTTTATTTCATAAATAGAAATAATAGTCTAGGAAACTAGCGGCGCGAACGCAGCGGCCGAGCGGTGGGCTGGCCGCGAGCCATATTTAGAATCGAGACGTGCCAAATAAGGTAATGACGGTCAAATGGGGGCCACTGAAATCCCTCCTCCTCGTTGGCGATTTTCACGTCTAATAATTAAAAACTTTGTCACGTTTCGCTCTTTAAATACCTACCTACGTATGTGATTAAATTTTATGTGGATAGATATTATTATGGAACTTTATAATGTTAAACAATTATAATTACAATTTCGAGTTTCAAGAGGTCACTCACATAGGTAATTGGAATCCATTTGCAAAAAAATATTTAGTCATTTACCATTGAACTAAGTGATTGTCGCTTACGTATTTTTACATTTTCCATCTTCATTACATTTCATTGCTTTAAAAACACAACCCAGCTGTCAGCTGATTAATCTCATTGGTGTTATGGTAGTATATTATGGCCAATAATCCACGGGTCAGGGATTTTATCCCCCGGGGTTTCTATTCAGCTAACAATTTTTTTTTAAGAATTTAGACTACATCTGGAAATTTAAAATTGATTGGCAGGTACAGACAGAAAATTCGATCCAGTTCACGAACCAATATCTATCCACAAAATATGAATGAACTTTGCTGGTAACTCCTTTTCCATCTCTGCTGTAAAAATTTGGAACTCTATACCTGACTCCGTCCGATTAGCTCCTTCTTTGACTTCTTTCAAGTATTTTATATAAACTAGTGATATTTTTTTGGGGGGAAACCCAATTCCGGTTTTTCGGCCTTACGTCTGGCCGAATATCCGGTATCCGGCCGCCGAATATTCGGCCAGCCAAACAATACCTATGTATATTTTAGTTTGGCGGTGCGGCGTCGTGCAAGTTTCAACCTGTTAGAGTTCTCTCTTTTTATTTATATGGTAACTCTTATTTTATTTGATTAAAAATTATGTTGTTATTAAGTTCAATGTTTTCAAACGTTAAACTTTGTAATTTCATCTTCAATGATTTCTTAAGTGCAAAGATAAGACATTGAACCTTAGCACGAGTGTTAAGGTTGAAATTAACTGCGGAGAGGTGCATGTATCAATAAGTTGAAAAAATTGAATGAGGTGTAGGACTCGGTAGCTCAATTGGTAGAGCAACAGAGGAAAGCTGAGATGCCGGTTCAGTCTTGTGAGTCGAAAATGTTTTCAATTTATTTTCGATTTTTAAACTAATAAACGAATATTAGTAATTTATCAATTATGAACAAATTATAATTTTTGTAATATGCAGTAACATTTTTCAAAGTGAAATAACAAAAGAATCTATTGGTATCCGGCCGATATGCGCAACTATCTATTCGGATAATAAAATAATGGCCGGATAGGCCGGATACCGAATAGTAACGATATTTTCATTTTCTCTCCATATCATGTTAATAAATTGAACTTTCCTTTTTCTATTTTTTCTTATTTTGATGGGTTTATATTATTATTAATTTAAGTTTATTTTGATTAGTTTAAGTAATTAGTAAGTTTCGCCCTTCTTGCACACTGTATAGTTTTTAATTAATCGTTAAGTTTCTTTCTACTCGGGTTGCCTGGAAGAGATCGCTTATATGCAATAAGGCCGCCCGTTACACTCTATAGTTTTAAATTGCATAGTATCTGTAAGTTTTGTTTGGTGTACCTAAGTGTGAAATAAATAAATATTAAACATTTGTGAAGTTTAATAGCGTTTCGTCAAAAATTGCAAAGTGCAATAAGTGCAAAAGTGGAATCAAGTAACAGTACCTTAGTTAGGTATTTAGAAAAGATATTTATACCTACTCTCATTTTCGTAGCACTTAGCAGCTAGTATAGCTAGTACCTATAGGTATGGTATAGGTATTACAAAAGGAAACCAGTTTATTTTTATAACTTAAATAAATAAGATATATCTTTTAAATTTATTTATTTATTTATAAACTCATCTTAATAATGGTATACCTTTGTAGTTTTTATAATTACATTATTAGACAATTGTTTAAATTGTATAAATGCCACGGGTGTCATAAGATCCTCTTATAATTGTAGGTGATTATCTCATGAAAGGTCAGATCGGAGAAGTCGATAAATAACCAACCACAAAATAAAATGTACGTAACTACTGTATTGCTTGTGTTAGCGTGGCGTCTGAAGGGACCACAGAATATCAGTGTTGGGACATTAGCCCCAACGTCCTAGCTGAGTGGACTCCCATTTCAGAGGCATCTGTACTATTTAATTTTAACTGTATTTAGTCGTAAAACATTATGTTTATAATTGTATAGTATGTTTGTAATATTAGTTTATTATAGTAAATTTATGTTGTTTATATCTGAATAAACGTATTTCTATTCTATTCTAAATAATTAGTCTTAGACACAGCACAATTATATATATATATAGCCTCACATAAGTTATTGATATCATGAAATATGTTGTTATTGCCTGTTCTATAAGGTTTTAGCATAATTGCAGTATTAAACTAACAACAACTGTAGGTTAGCAATGATGTTAAAAACTTAAGCAAAACATAATTTGAAATCCATGTCGTAGATAATAGACGTAGGCGAACCTTCCAAAGACAATAAAATTGAAATTAATTCTCGTTTATGTTTATTTTATGGCATTATTAGCAAAAATCTGCTAGCTTTACATTCAAATTGTTAACGGCTTCCGCCCACAATTGCGCTCAATACGCAATTTATCCTTATTTAGCCTTTTTTATTACAATCACAGGACAGAGGTCAGTGACTTATTAAAGTGTTTTAATGAATCCCACTAATATTTTTAATTCGGAAGTAAGTAAGTAAAAAAGGATGTTTGTTACACTTTAACTATCAATCGTATAAGTTGACCCTAATATACTATATACACAAAAGTACCACAGATAAATAGATCCCTAATTATCAGTAAAAACAGTTCTGTAGTAGAGTGAATGAGTAACTGGAGACTGCTGACTTTTTAAATCAATATAAGTTATTTAGAAGCCATCTAGATTAAAGTAAAATATTTCAATAGTAATCAAAACATGTTTGTATTCATGAATTAATTTACAGGGTTCGCGCCAAATCTTGCAGCTGTCAGACATGGCAACTGACGCAACGCCATTCAACATTATATGCCAGTAGGGCCAACACTAGGGTGTATATAATAACCGCAGAGTATTTTCAGATCAACTTCCGATAATGCGTTTTACATTCAAATGCACAAATGTCAAAAACTAAAAACAATAAAATGCAACCATTAGCTCCCTAATTGGTTTTTATTATTATTATTATTACTACGTAATGTGGCCCGGGGTCGTCTTATCTACAGGCGGACGTTCTTTAATTGAAATTTCTAATATGTAATAATTAATGTCTACAATTTTTTAAGTGGTAACTATGTACGGCTAGAAACTAACGTGTTGTATGTTTTAGAAAATTGTTAAATAATTTTTGTACCTTTTATATTAGCAAACTCGGCGATAAATAAATTATAATTAATATTAATTATATAACTTATTAAAAATCAGACTCAATTGAAAGTGAATTCTCTATTGAAAAAGTCTTAAGACACTACAATATAAAATTCCTAGTCTTACATCCAAGTTTAATCAAAATCGTGGTCACGGCAGCTATTCGTCAGTAGTTCGATGAACTGACGGTGTTAGGTTGTGCCTGAAAATGGTAACTCCTATTATATTCATGCGCACACGTCATAAGGAACGATTGTCAACTTATCCGATAATATATAAATATAACATATATAAAACATCTATGTCATACCTTATTTAGATCATAGAAATACGTTAAGGCTCTTACAAGTTTAGAATGCAATTATGTTCGAACATTCAAGTGTATAGAAGTTATAAAACTAATCACTAAAAGTAAATTTAGTTTTAAAAAGGTTTTGTAGATACTTTCTCACTTACAGACAAGTAGATGAGAAGTTGCTCTATTCGACTGAAACGATTATAGTTTTCCCAGGCTTCGAACCTAGGATCGCCGTGCTTTACACAATGTTTGCATTTGTTAAAATATAGTCTTTTAATAAAATTGATGAATAGGATTCAGAAATGTCTATAAATTTGGTTCCATCAAAAAATCTATTCACAGATATCTACGTAACTATTGTTATTGCCAAATCTCTAATGCTGTTTAACAATTCACGAACCATTCAGTAAATAAATACATTCCTAGTTACATACATCTGTACTTATGTTGGTACAATTCAACATTTAATATTATTAGTTGCGTTACGTAGTAATTTTAAAATAAATATTGTTTATTTAGCTGTACTAACTTTGTAAAATGTCGACTTTGAACCGTTAAATTATCCTTGCATACTTTTTAAGACATAAAAGAAAAATCGTGATCATTAGTATTTTTGCGATGAAACAATCATTAAAAAGATATTTCGAATCAGCTGTGGTGCCAAAAATAATTAGGAAAATTGCCGATATACAGTCACACAGTGTACTTTAAAGCAATCATATGTGATTGCATATGCAAAAAAACTTAAATAAAAGAGTACATTAATATAATAAAGTAAAAGAAAAATATAAAATTGCCATCCCAATTCCCCCGTGGGGCATGGAGCGAACTTCACTATGTCCGTTCACTTATCGGTTCTTTTACAGAAAATTAGTTTACCAACTTCT